ACAACACAGTACACACTACACACACCACACACCATACACACACACCACACACACAACATACACACTACACACCATGCACCCACCAAAACATACACATCAAACACCACACACCACATACATACCACACACCACACTACACACACCACCATACACACACATCACACACAACATACACACCACACACCATGCACACACTACACACAGACTACACACGCCACCATACACACACAATACACACACAATACATACCACATACCACATACACACCACACACAACACACTACACACACAACATACACACCAAACACTACACACTACACATCAAACACCACATACAACATACATGCCATACACACACCACACATGCCACATACTATATACACCAAACACAATACACACACCTCACACACAACATACATACCAAACACCACACATAACACACACCAACCACACACCACATACACACCACATGCTACACACCAGGCACACCAAACACCATACACACACACCATACATTCACACATATGCACCACAAAGTACACATCATACACACACACTACACATCAAACATGCACACACCACACACAAACATGTACACCAAACACCATACACACATCACACACTACACATACCAAAAACTATGCACACACCACACATCACACACTGCACACACTACACACCACACGTACGCACCACACACTGCACACCATACACACATACTACATACACATCAAACATGCATGCACCACACACAAACATATACACCAAACACCATACACTTGCCACACATCACACACTACACACACCAAATACCATACACACACAATACATACAAATACATACTAAACACTATACACACACACTGCACACATCAAACACAATGTACCACATACACACCACAGACACCACATACAAACACCATGCATACCACACACACAACATACATACCAAACACCATACACACACACTACACATTCACACATACCACATACGCATCAAACAACATACACCACAAACATATACACCAAACACCACATACCACACATCACATACCACACACACCAAACACTATACATACACAATACACACAACATACATACCAAACACTACACACACACAGCACACACCAAACACCACATACCACATACTCACCACACCACACACACCAACACACACACTACACACACACAACATACACACCAAACACCATACACACACTACACACACCAAACACCACATACCACATACACACCACACACCATATACACATTGTGCACACCACACACACAACATACACCAAACCCCATATACATAGACCACACCCCACATCCACACACACACACACACGCGCATCGCCCTCTCATCTTCCTAAGCTTTCCCGGAGAGTCCCCGGACTTCCCGCCACCCTGGGGGCCAGGCCTTCAGAGCTGCTGGTCGGAGCGGGTGATGGGTTTCTGCTGTGGAACTCTGTTTAGCACAGACAATCTCACCCTAAGGTCTCTAGTGCAGGACGGCCCTGAAGCTCTGCGACAAGGAAGTCCCCAAGCACTAGCTGCTGCCCAGAGTCACTCACTTTGTCCCCTCCCCACTGCGCAGAGTCCCACACACGACACACCACACATACCACATACCACCAAGTGGGTGTCCAGGCTCTGGGCCTTCACGCCCCACCCCACCCCATGAGGAAGAGGCAGATGGTGTCACTGCAGTGCCCAGGGAGTCCCCATGAGGGTGCTGGGCTCAGTCCCATCCCCGTAGCCCTCAGAGCCCTCCCAGCTCAAGGCCTGGGGCCGGATGGGTCCCACCTTCCACCATCTCCCCACTTCCCAAAAGCGCAGAACGGCTGCTTGCTGTTAACACAGACCAACACAAGGTGGCGCCATGGTCAAGGGCCCAGGACGGCGGCGGGGGGTGGGGGGGAGGGTCCCATCCCGAGGGGCTCCCAGAGCTCCCACCCAGGTGCTGTCCCCTGCCTAGGTGGGTGCCAGCCCTGCTCCTACCTGCCTCTCCCTTGGTCCTATTCTGGGGCCTTCCCCGGCACCCTGTGGCTCACAGAGGAACGACCAAGACTACAGGTGCCCCCCAGGCTCCTGCCAGGCTTTTGTGACCTGCCACTTGCTACCAGACACCAAGCACCCTCCAGAGAACCTCAACCCCACAGAGAGGTGGTGCTCCCAGCTTCGGAGGAGCCCAAAGCCGAGGGAAGCAACTGAGGCAGTGGCAGGGGCTGAGGAGGGATCTGCCAGGTGGAGCCGGTGGGGGGTACGCCAAAAGCAGAAGCCAGGCCTCCAGCACATTTCCCAAGCCCTCCAGGGGTGCCAGCCCCTTACACACATGGTGTCCCGCTGAGTTCACAGCAGCCCCACGCGGAGGGGCCAGTACAACCCCGAAGTAGACAGGGAAGGCGAGGCTCAGAAAGGAGATGGACACTGTCCTGAGTCGCACAGCCAGGAGTGGCTGGGGCAGGGCTGGGCGCTGGGCAGCTGACCCAAGGTGGCTCTCGGCCCCACTCTGGGCTCCTGCCCCAAAGACGAGCCCAGAAAAGCTGGTTTGGCCAGGACCACTGAATCCATCCTCTGTGGGAAAGTCAGGGGCATGGGGAGAGATGGGCTGACCACCATGCCCAACACACAAGGACCCTGGGCCGCCCTCAGCACCGGCAATCCCACCCTCAGATGCTGATGGGCACAGGGGGGTAGGGCAGGGGTCACACTTGTCCACACTCTGAGTCGCGCTCTGGCTGTGTGACTTCAGCAAGTTACTTAACCCCCTTGGGCCTGGACTGGCCCTAATAAAAAGGTATGAATGCTAACGCCCAGCCTCCAGGGTTGGCAATGGGCTCACAGAGGAACTACCTGGCACGGTGCTGACCAAAAGCACATGTCCCGCGGCCTCTGCCTGCCATAGGCAGCCCAGGGCACTGGAATATGAGTGGAGGCTCCTTCCTAGGCCAGCCCATCCCTCACCTCCCCAGGCCCGCCCTAGATGCAGCTTCACCTCTGGCAGGGCATGGCAGGCAGGCGTTCTCTCCGGCCACTCGCTCCAGCAAGCCGCTGGTCTCATCAGCCCCCCAGTGCGGTGGCTCTGGAGGGAAGCAACACGACCACGCTCATCCCTTGAGCCCAAAGCCTGGCACCCCCACCCCCTGCCTCCAAGGAACCCAGGGCCAATGGGGAAGCATCCCCTTCCAGAATCCCGGCCCCTAGACTCCTGGCAAGTCAGGGCCAGGGGTATTGGCTCACCCCTGCAGGGAGGCCCCATGGTGCAGCCACCAGGGCCGAGCCCCACAGGCTGGGGAGGCTGAGCTGTGCCCTTAAACAAAGGCCACATGTGGTCCCTCACAGCAGTGGCTTCGCAAGTGTTTTTTTTTGTTTGTTTTGTTTTGTTTTTTTAAGAGACAGGTTCGCTATGTTGGCCAGGCTAGTCTCAAACTCCTGGGCTCAAGCAATCTGCCTACCTCAGCCTCCCAAAGTGCTGGGTTTACAGGTGTGAGCCACCACATTCGGCCCCAAGCTTGTTTTAAATTCCTAATAGTGAAACTGCTAGCACCACTGATCCAGAACTTTCTATGCGCCAGGCGCTTCACACACACTCTCATGGACCCCTCACAGAGTATTGGACCCACTTTGCAGGTGAGAACACTGGGGTCATAGAGTGTAGGTGGCTGGCCTATGACTGTCCAGATGGCCCTGGGTCCAGTGCTGCTCCCCGGTCCCTGCCCTAGGTGCCTCTGTCCACCCAGGTCCTGAGAGGGCCCACAGGTCACCACCCAAGGGGAAAGAATGCAGGGAACCCCTGCTGGGAGCTCTGAGACTGGTCCATGCCCACGGGCTGACAAAGGCTCCTAGACACAGGATGGCCCAAAGCTGTGAGATCCCAGAGAGGGCCAAGGCTCTATCTGTCCCCAGAAGGAAGCGGGCAGGCACAGAGCCCGGAACAGAGATGAGCACCTCCCAAGTCCAGGCTGTGCGGGGAAAGCTGGGGAGAAGTGAGTTCTGGGGCAGGGAGACTCACCTAGCACTCTGAGCTCCACGTCCCAGGCATCCACCCCGACGCTGTTGGAGGCCTCACAGTGGTACCTCCCGGCATCAGAGGTTCCGATGGCTGTGAAGTGGACAGAGCCCTCAGGCCCCCGGCCCCGCAGGGCCACGCCATCCTTGGACCAGCTCAGCTGGGGCTCTGGGTTGCCCTCAGCCACACAGTTCAGATCCAGGGCTTCTCCCACCAGCACCTTCAGAACCCGAGGGCCTGGCTGCACCTGAGGAGGGACTGACGGGCCACAGGAGGGGCATCAAGGTGGGGGGACCCAGGTGAGAGGGTCCCAGAACCCAGACCCAAGCCACACCTCAGATGTCACCAACCAGCAAAATTGTCATGGAGCACAATCGAAGGATGGCAGGAAAAGACATTGGGACACCCACATGGACTCCCCTAAAGAGAGTGAGCTCCGGTCTTTCACCTGAACACACACTCTCATGAAAGATTCAACCCTCAGGGCTGAGCGTGTACCTCCCTCTGCCCCCGCCAATGTGCCGACTCCATTTAAAGAAGCACCACTCGGGGCCGGGCGCAGTGGCTCATGCCTGTAATCCCAGCACTTTGGGAGGCCGGGGTGGGCACATCGTCTGAGGTCAGGAGTTTGAGCCCAGCCTGGCCACTATGGCAAAACCCTGTCTCTACTAAAAATACAAAAATTAGCTGGGTGTGGTGGCGCACGCCTGTAATCCCAGCTACTTGGAGGCTGAGGCAGAAGAGACGGGGTTTCACCATGTTGACCAGGATGGTCTCGATCTCTTGACCTCGTGATCCACCCGCCTCGGCCTCCCACAGTGCTGGGATTACAGGCGTGAGCCACCGCGCCCAGCCCTACAAGAATTGTTGGATCCCAAGAGGCGGAAGTTGCAGTGAGCTGAGATCGTCCCACTGCACTCCAGCCTGGGCGACAGAGAGAGGCTCCATCTCAAAAAAAAAAAAAAAGTGCCACTTGGAATTCTTCCAGCTCAGCGCACATGGGGGAACTGAGACAGGGCAGAGGGACTGACTCATAATGGCCGAGCAAGTTTGGGAGGCAGCATGCACAGAGATGGTTCCAATCCTATTTCAGTTCCTTAGAGCCAAAGGACCCTGCTCCAGCCAGAGCCTCAGTTTCCCCTTGTCACAACCCCTCCCGCCCCGCAGGATGAAATGAGGTACAGCACTAAGGCAGCCCGCACAGAGCCCGGTGGCTGGAGGCACCCCGGCTGGATGTCATCGCTGCCCATCCTTCCCTCCCACAGCTGTGGTTTCCCGTTCTTTTCCGTTTGTGGTTTCAAATCACTTTCTCATCCTCCCCTCACTTGGTCCTTCCTACTTGGCAAGTGGTACCATCCACGCCTGCACATTTTGCAGAGGAGGACGCTGAGGCTCAGAGAGGTTATATGACTTGGCCAGAGTCACCCCCTCCCTCAGTGGAGAGGTGCTGGCATCAACCCTGGGTCTGAGTGTCCAAGGAGTCAGGCCACTGCGGGGCCAGACTGGGTGGGCACAAGAGAACTCTCAGAGCCCAGGGGCCACCCTGCTCCAGGCACTGCATGGGACAGACCCTGGGCCAAGTATACTGGCCCCTTGAGGGAAGCTGAGGTGCACCCACCCCCTTCACAGCTTCTGAGAAGGAGCCTGGATTATATCACCCATGGGAACCTGGCCCTTGGGCAGAGACCAGCCCCTTGGCCCAAGGCCTGAGTGCCAGGAGTGCTCCCTGCCCAGGAGCACAGAAAGCATGGATGCCCTGCCCACCTGTTGATCTCTCTCACACATACCCACTGAAAACAGTAACAGCTTCCACTGTTCTGAGCATTCAATGTCCTTGAGACCTTCTGACCACCATGGGATGGGCTTTATTGTGGCCTTCATTTTACAGAGGAGGAAAGCAAAGCTCAGAGAGGCCAAGTGTCTGGCCTAAAGTCACACAGCCTGTCAGTAGCAGAGTCAGGATTCAGGCCCAGCTCTGCTGACGTTGAGGTCCTGCTCATTGCCCTGCCCCCCGTTCCTGTCTCTCACACCCCCATGCAAACCCACGGAATCCTGGAGCTCCTTCCCCATCTGGGCCTCAGCCTGTGCATCTGTAAAATGGGGTTTGAGCTTAGATCTGGAGCAGCACACTTTCTGTAGAGTGTAGGTGGTTGGAATGGCGGGCTGTGAGGCCAGGCAGGCTCCCACCACTTCCCACCTCTGCCGTCAGAGGGTAAAGCAGCCACAGGCTGCACGTTGATGAATGCGCGTGGCTGTGTTCTGATAAAACTTGTATTTATAAACACTGAATTTTTTTTTTTTTTTTTTTTTTTTTTTTGAGACAGGGTCTCACATGTTGCCCAGGCTGGAATACAGTGGCACGATCACAGCTCACTGCAGCCTTGACTTCCTGGGCTCAAGCGATCTTCCTGCCTCGGCCTCCTGAGTAGCTGGGACTACAGGTGTGGACTCTTGCAAGAGAGTAATTTTTTGTTTTTTGTAGAGATGGGGTCTTGCTATGCTGCCCAGGCTGGTCTCGAACTTCTGGCCTCAAGCCATCCTCCCGCCTAGGCCTCCCAAAGTGCTGGGATTACAGGCATGAGCCATCATATCTGGCCAACACTGAAATCTGAATTTCAGATAAATTTGAAGTGTCATAAAATATGATTGGGTTGGTTTTTGGTGCATGTCCAATTATTTTACCAAGCGGAAGCTGTTCCTCACTGCCCCCTGATCTCTGAAAACAGGAGGGCAGATGGGGCGCTTGGGCCAGAGCCAGGCCTGTCTCGGAGGCCTCTCAGTGTTCTTTCGGATGACGAGCACCCTGACTCTCTGGTGCAGGACTCCGACCCGCTGGCTCCCTTTGAATGAGCCCTCAACTCACAGGGGAACGCCCACTCCTGGGACCTCGCACCAGGCTGGGAACCAGAGCCACAGTGGGGTGCGTGGGGACCTTGCCAGGAGGAGGGGATCGTGGAGACAGCACGGCACCTCCTGTTACAGGTACACAAAGTGCCTCGTTGATGGCAGTGTGGGAGCAGGGGCTTGGAAGGGCCTCTTGGGGGGCATTACGTGCTCCCCGCAGGAGGGGGCTCTGTGGCATCTCACAAGCCTCTTCCCATCGCCACGCGCTGGGCTCCTGGCTGGGCCTTGCACACCAGGCAGAGACGCTCTCAGACCCACCTTCATGGGTTCCCCTCTGACCCCCGCCCAAACCCAAGTGCCCACCGGGCTCTGCCCTGTGTTCTCGGGGGCCTCTGAACAGCATCTCCAGGTATGGGGAGAGGCGGAGAAAAAGGGTAGAGGAGGAGAGAAAGGCCTGAGAAACAGGAAGTGGGGGTAGCGAGAGGAGGTGGCAGAGGCGCAGGGAGGGAGCGTGACGGCACCTGACAGACCTGGGCATGGGCTGCAGGAGGGGGACTGAGAGGCCTGAGAGGCAGGTGGGGTGATGGGGGACACAGAGGGACTGGGGCAGCCAGCTGGTCCTACCTTGCACCCCAAGAACGTAGCGACGGGAGGCGGACCCCGCGGGGTTACTGGCTGTGCACTCATAGTGGCCGGTGTCATCCACCTGGACCTGGGCCAGACGCAGAGAGCCAGATGGGAGGAGGCCATGCCTGCGGGAGTGGGGAGCACTGGTGAGACCCTCACTGACCCGACCTCCACGGGAAGGCTTCGAGACCCAACTTGAACCAGCCACCTCTCCCAGGAAGCCTGGGAATGAGACAGCACCCACCATCTAGCCCCTATCCCTGCTTCCATCCTCCCTGAACCAGCAGGCCAGGGCCAGTGCCACGCCTACTGGTGTAAGAGAAGAAGAGCACTGGACTAGGAGTCCACTGGCTTGGGTTCGAGTCTAAACTCTAAATCCTTCCTAGCTGTGACCCTCAGGGAAGCTGCTTCATTTCTTGGAGCCTCCATTTCCTCATCTGTAAAATGGGCATGCCAAGATGGCGTGTGCCTGGGCCAGGACTGGTAAACGGATTCCATCACAGGCTCAGCCCAGGGCCAGAAGCCTGCCCACCGTTTGACACCTGTTGACTGCAGTGGCAACGCCCACTCCTCTGCCACACACACCTGCCCTGCGTGTGGGATGAAGGAGAAGCTGGCAGCCCTGAGGCCTTCTGGTCTTGTGCCAGGGCTGACCTGTCTCTGACAGCAGTCCCTTGGTGCTCCTATGTCCAGAGCTGTGTTGAGGGCCCTCAGGAGGAAGCTGCAGACCTCTCACCTGCTCCACCACTGCCATCGCCACCCTCCCCAGTCTGGCTCACCTTGCTAGCGTCACATCACCCCCATCCCACAGGGATCTAGGACCCCCAGCCAGGCTCCTGCAGCTGGGCTGGACCCCAAGGGCCCCCCGCAGACATGATGTCACCGGCCCATATGTGCTGGCTCTGCACAGCCCCTTCCTCCGTAAAATAGGGAGGGCAGCTGTGGCCACTGACCCTGGCTGGCCCCAAGAGCACACAGCCAGCATGGGGGCGGGGGACTCTAAGGGCCAGCCGCTGGCCCTGCGCTCAGCAGCTGGGCTCTAGAACTCAGCAGGCCTGGGATGCTACAGTCCTTGCTATCTGGGATGCTCCCGCCTTGCTATCTGCTGAGGCTCAGTTTCCTCCTCTACAAAACAGGGATCACAGAACCCCCTTATAAAATCCTTAGGGCTCCTCACAGCCCCCACCTCTCAGGCAGCTGCAAGAATCACATGAGATGCGGTAAGTGAAGTGAGGGCCATGCAGTCATTATCAAGGTCAATACCATCATTCATTCCCTGTGCAACCTTGGGCTACGGGCTTTGCCCGCTGAGCCTCTGTCTCCCCATCTGTAAAGTGGGGCAATGACACCCCTTCCCAGCCACCCCCTCCATCCTTTTGCCCCAAGCATCCAGCAGCCTCTTGGGACAAGTTCTCTGAGGGTGGCTGTGGATGGCACAGTGGGTGGTGGCACTGGGCTGGATCGCCTCGGTCTAACCTGCTTAGCCATGTGCTTCCTGTGTGAGGATGGACAAGTCTCCTCACCTTCCTGTGCCTAAGTCACCTCGTTTTGGAAAATAGAGCTGTCAGCTATGCTCGTCCCTCACAGGCTGTCAAAAGAACCAAATGACCTAATTCACAGCACAGCATCTGCAACAGAGAGGCACTCAACAGTCAGCTGCTTCCACGGAGACAAGAGCACACGCGTAAATAACACACAGTGCTGTTTTGCATGTTTGAAAACTTGCATCATGAGCTATACCATGGCATAAATGGCATCGTGAGGATGTATATAGGTCTGATTCATTCATTTTTGACTGTTGTGTAGTATTCCCTTGTATGATTACACCACAATGTATTAACTTGCTCCCTTTTGAGTGGACATTTAAACATTTAGATCTTTCTTTATCTCTTCCTTTCCTTCCCTTCCCCTTCCCTTCCTCTTCTCTTCCCTTCCTCTCTGTTTCTCTCTCTCTCTCTCTCTCTCTCTCTCAACAGCAGAGCTCTTGACACACTGCTTCTGTATCTCCCATGCCCCAGAGCAGGTCTCCTGGACTACAGGCTCACACCCTCTGCTCTCAAAGGTCTCACACCTTGTAGGGCAGGGGTTCTCATCAGAATCTCCCAGCTGCAGGTGAAACATGCTGATTCTCAGGCCTTACCCAGAAACTCTGATTCCATGGAGGAGGTGGGAATTGGGTTTTTGCTAAAAAGCCCTAGGTGGCTGATACAAGTGGCTGGGGAACCACCTCCAGGGAGCCACTGCCTGGGGACATGAAAACGTGCCCCTTTCCTGAGAAGCAGCATGGCAGGGCAGATGGGCGCAGGTCTTTGATGGTAAGTGTCCTGGTGAGAACCACCATCCTGCCTCTTACAGGCCGACCTCGGGCCAAGGATGCCGTCTTCCTGAGTTTCAGGGTGCCTATCCAGAGTCACAGGAAGCGGCACGTATGAGCTGACATCACGCACACAAAGCCTAAGGTGCTGGGGACATAGTATACGGATGACACCTGCTCATCTTTGAATACTGAGACACCACCTCCTCCAGGTCACCTATACTGCCTTGCTATTCGTGTGATACAAATCCCCAGCCAGGGTCTGGGATCTCTCCCTGGACTTCAATCAGCTGGGCAGCCCTGAGCAGGTCGTTCAGTCTTTATAGTGCAAAGGAAAAAGTGGGAAAACACCACATCAGTACGTGTGTGTCTTGGCAATGGGTAAACATCTCCACTGCAGCATAGCTCTACTCTGTCTGCCACTCCAGCTTGAATTTTCTTTTTTTTTTCTTTTTCTTTTTCTTTTTTTTTTTTTTTTTTGAGACAGAGTCTTGCTCTGTCGCCAGGCTG